GGGGGGAATGGCAAGGGGGACCGAGACGTGGGAGGAGAGGAAACGGGATGGGATGGATGGCGGCGGACCGGGAGGCCAAGGGAGAAGCCGGAGAAGGATAGAGCAGTTAAGTTAGTCTGTCGGTCAGTGACTGCCTGACTTTCCCGGCGCAGCTGAAGGTCAACTCGCCTCCCCTCTTTCCCTCTCGTCTCCTTTCCACCCCCCCTCCCGCCCTTCTCAACTCCTCGCCCATCCCTCGTCTCTACCTCCCCTCCCTTCTCCGTACTCCTCATCGGCCAACCCATCTTCCATCCTACTGTACCTCCAGCTTGCACTTCACCTCCTTCACCTATGCACTCGCTCCTACCGATTCTGAGCTACGTTCACGTAGCTTCTTTTTCTTTCCTTCTCTATCTCTCTATCTCTCTCTCTCTTCCCTTCCCTATACTCTCCTGACTCGTCGCATCTACATAATGCGCGACAATGCCACAGGATGAAGTATAGGATCGGGAGCTTTCGAGACGTGGACGTAATCGAGATTTCGTATGGGACGAGGGTTCACGGTGCTTCGAGAGATTCTCAAGGAAATTATGGAAATCGAGAATCTACGGTCTTTTGGTTGAGTCAGATCGAACGCTTTGGTTTCCACGCGGGATACGTTAATACGCCGGTGGTTTTACGTATACTCTGCACAGGGAACGTCTGTCCCGTTTATATAATTAATTTTCTGCTATGCTCTCATGTTCCTTTTTTTTTTGTCGTCGTCTTTCTCTTTGTCATTCCATCTTTTCCTTCTGTCTCCCTCTCCATATGCGATAGAGACGTAGGATATCTCCTGGGGGATTACGACTTCTCAGCCAATTATCCATCCCCGGTACACGAGAATGCGTTTCTCGCCGGTGCACTCTGCTGCATCCTGGGCTCACTTTCAGCATACCTCTTTCTTTTCAGTACAGCTCTCTCCTCCTCTTCCACGCTCGATCTTCGTCTGCTCCGCTGCCCCTTTTCCCCCCACTTGGTTTTTACCCTTCATCCTCCTATCGCTCTGCTTCCTCAACTCTTCTGTTTCCCTTTGTGCCGAGTTCTCCTCTCGCTCGCTCGCTCGCTCTCGTCTACCTTTCTGCTCTCGCGCTCTGCTCCACCTTCTTGGGCAACCCTTTCGCTATACTTGTACTTCCGGCCGTGAAGCGCTAGCGCGAAATTCTCGCAAAATAAACGAAACCGAGCCGGCAGGGCGGCGGCTGCTGCTGTTGGTTCGCGTATTTTTAACTATCGGCTCGTCGTAACGCGTCGTTTCGTTCCAAACTTCCTGTCTGCTATCAGGAAGAAAAAGTAAGTCAAATAAATGACGGTTTCCCGCACGCGTGCGTGCGTGCTCGCTCGTCCGTGTGGTTATTCCTTCTCTCTCTCTCTCTCTTTCTCTCTCTCTGTCGATGCTTCATCCGGTCGATAGAGTCGAGTCCGGGAATACGATAGGATCGGGAAGATTCCTCTCTGCGAGAACGCGCCAAAAGAAACTGAAAAAGAGATAAATAAGTGAATTCCTTGCCGTGTGCTATTCCCGTGATCGGGCCGAAGTCCCGAGGACGTCGGAGAGCCAGGAAAGATTGAGTAGAGGTTAGAGTAAGGAACGCACGTACCCACGAAGCTCCGTACCGATTTTCTCGGTTCAATGATCAGGGATACTCGAGTGTCTGTCGGTAAAGCAGTTACAGTAAGACGCTAAGAAGGTATAGGTCAGTGAAGTTTCCCCCACTAGAGTCTCCACCGGCACCGATATCATCGCAAAGCACCTTCTTCCACGCTTCTAATCCCACCACTGGCTCCGGGTACAATGTACAGTAGACCGCAACAGTCCTAGACAACGGGCCTGCGACGGATTGACTCATCTAGCCAAGTCATACCGGGCGTAAACAGAACCAGCACCGGCTCCCCCGTCGTGGCCTTCTACGTGACGTCACCCTTTTTTCCCATCATCCTCCTCCTGCGAGTGCCCAAGAGTCTTCGTGTCCTGCACGCCAAATTCGTCTCGTTGACTCAGTAAGGACACCCGGAGACGTCATGGAAGCTCATAGGCCTCGAAGAAAATACGTGTATGCAGATAAAATAGATCGTGAATACACACACGCGTCCACAAATGTACATACCGCTTAGAAGAGGTAACAGCGAGGGTGGTAAAGTTCCGATTTTAGCCCCTCCAGCCTCTCGGTAAGCGGCGGCGCTATTATGCACTAGTAGCTTGATGGCGTCACCGTGTAACCTTGGCTCGGGTCAGTCCTCTATCATACTGCAGGCAGAGCCCCGCCTCCTCTAAGTCTCCCTTTCTACCTCTCTCTCTCATATTCTCTTTGCGTCCCTCAGTCAGCGGCACTACCACCCGTATGCACGCAACCCCACGTAACGTCCAGGGCTCCCTCGACATAAACACACACGTACCTCCTGAAACAGCACCAACACCGTCTCCTGGTATCCACGCTATCCCTGCGATACTCGAGGCGAATGCGGCTTCCCCGGCCTCCTCTCTGTCGAGACTTACCACACGTCTACGCTTCCACGCGTGTATATACGCGCACGCATCGAAGAAGCTACTCCGCGTCCTCCCGGTGGGCGTGAGTATGTCGCCCGTCGACGAAACCGATACACATAACCTCCCCGTCGCTCGTGAAACATTTCCGTCCTCGCACCAGATTCGCCAATTCTCTCGACTCTTATGTTCACCTGAGCATCTCTAATCTTATTTACGTCCCAGGAGCGGTGCACAACATGGACGCGCACTATCGTGGTTACGTTGCGTTTACGTCCCGTCGGTCGTCCCGACGTATCTCGTTCACGGCGCGTATGTCAGATCGCAAGGAATCGCCCCAGACGGTTGGCTATTAATAGTTCATTGTACGCGGGTGCCCGATGGCAGCCCACTCGTATGGGATTTTTATCGCATACGAGAGCGCGTTGATCCTGCGTTAACGAGTACCGCACGGCATTCGACAATTTGGCACTAGTTCGAGCCAGTTTCTATAGTTTCTATAAAGTCCCTAGGCCGATAACGTATTCGTGAATAACGATTGTTTTTAACCAACAGTCACGCACTCCGGGAGAAGCAGGAAAATTAGTAAGGATCGAGGATCGATAATTTATGTCTGTTTTTCTCTTTGTCTCTCTCTTGCTCGCAATATATTACTATCTACCGCCACTCTTTTACTTAAGACAGAAAAGTCTTACGTGATCGCACTCTGACTTTCGTTAGTGAGACCTCTGGTGTCTTTGGGGCGAACTGTAAGAGAGCGTACGGTGGCGCCATCTCGCGGCGGTATATCGAACTAAGCGCGAAAAATCTTCACTTATCGTACTATGATCACGATACTCATGCTCTTTTCTTTTATTTTATCATTGCAGTATCGGAGAGCTACAGTAGCTACGTCAGTTCCATGTACGGCGGCGGTGGACAGTTTGCAACACCGTGTACGCCGAGTCCACCGAGGGGTCCGGGCGGTGTACCGACCAGCGTTATTCAGGCAGCGACCAGTTCCGTTTCCGACGACCTCTACCTGCTGGAACTTGGTTTCCCACCGCGACCCAAGAAGAACAAGCTCAAGAAACCCAGACAGGGCGAGGGTGCTGCCGTCAAGAGGAAATCCCGCGAAGGTTCCACCACTTATCTGTGGGAGTTCCTACTGAAGCTTCTTCAGGATCGCGAGTACTGTCCGCGTTATATCAAGTGGACGAATCGCGAGAGAGGCGTCTTCAAGCTCGTCGACAGCAAAGCCGTGTCTCGACTCTGGGGTCTCCACAAGAACAAACCGGACATGAATTACGAGACTATGGGCCGCGCGTTACGTTACTATTACCAGCGCGGGATCCTCGCAAAAGTCGACGGGCAGAGACTCGTCTACCAGTTCGTTGATGTTCCCAAGGATATCGTGGAGATCGACTGCGCGGGTGCGTGAGATAAGGCCCATCCCTCGCGGGAGCTCGGAATTCACAGGAAACAGCAACAGCAGAATTACTCGAAGAGGATATGTCGACGCAGGCTATCGGACTCCACTTCCTTCTGTAATGAACAACAGCAAGACGTACCGACCTGGCACACTCCTCAGGCAATCTAACCAGACCCTCCTCTGGCTCCGTTGTTCCTCCTTGTATTATACGATGTACACAAGAGACAGTTATACACGCATACTTACACACACGCAGATATAGGTAAACGACACGCAGGACGTTGATTTCCAAAAGTTGAAAACAAAAAAAAGTAGAAAACGGAAATTCAAGGACGCGACCGCGCTTCCCTAATCGTCAGGAATGACGCCACGTCGTTTGCCAATTTCTGTCTTGGCAGGCGTGGTGGACTTTAGAATTTTTTAAATTTTTGTACAAAATTTAGTTGATACGAAGTAAAACGCAAAAAAAGGAAAAAAAAATGATTGGCGACGTTTCGCGACGCGTGGATGTTATTGTATTTTTATTAAACGTTACGGACAAATTACTTAACTTATAGAGAGAACGTGATTTAAAGCGAATGTGTGAATGATTGCATGAAATATGGTACGTGTGGAGGAAGAAGGGGTAACAATGTCCTTTTTTTTGTGTGTATGTTTCTTGGGCGCGAATGCGCGCGAGATCGGGTAGCTGTTTGGCTGTGTGCAAGTGCGCGAGAGAGAGTACGTGACGTAAAATGAAAAAGAAGAAAATCACATTGTACATTCGATGAACGGTAAATTATTTATTGTACATTAGAGACGTTCGTACGACTTACCTAGGAAATTTGTTAAATGAGAATACGATGTGCGTGCGCGGATTTTAGGGGAGTAACAAAAGAGTATATAAATGTGAAAAAAAAAGGAGAAACAATTGAAAGGCGAAAAACGAATAATGAGCATACAAAGCGGAAAGTTTAAAAACGAAACGAAATACGAGGGCTGTGAAAAGGGTTTAAGGCGAGGCGCGTTTTAAAAGTTCTGCGGTGCGAGCTCAGGGAGGGGAATACACACTATATATATTTTTTTAAAAAATGCCGGGAGCGGCGAATGACGTTCTACTTTGAGCTGAGTTGTCAACGACGTAAGGTGCTGGCTATTACACACGAGGTCCAAGAATGTTATTTAGCAACCTAGCGTTATACTGATTCATAGAAATTATCCAGACAGACATTATATATCTCTGTATATATATAAAGTATACCTTTAGTACATATGAATATATATATATATATTATTGAATATTATATATATATTATATGAATATATATTGTATGTTATGTAGTAAATGGCGCGAATTTATGTGTATGTACGAGTTGCGTCGAACCGCGTCGCGAATGATTCGCCGTAGTTTGAAGGAAAAGCAGAAAAAACAAATACGATAAATTTTGACTTGCGTACGAAGTCTCCGTGCTGTAAAAATTAAAAAAATATCTCGATTGTAATTGTCGGACAACGAGAACGTTTTTTGAATCAGTCGGTAAAACAGGTAGACCTTTCACGAGGCTTCTCTCGTTTTCCGGTGGAGGGCAGCTTTGACGTTTTTTCGCGACGGAGGCGTCGTACTCGTTTTACAACTAAAATAAAATAAAAGGAGAAGAAATATCATTGGAGATGCTCATTTCTGATGGCGCAATAATGCCAGATTAAAGAAATAGATATATTATAAATAGGTATCACTTGAGACGCGGTAGACTTACTCCCACCCGAGGTGTAAAATAAAACTAATGACTTAGGTGGTAAAATTTAATTTATTGACGCCTCGGAACGCGATGCGTGTAAGCGCGAATGTTGTCACCTAGACATTAAGGAGTACCAATTCTTTTTTTCTCTCTTTTTGTACATACAAAGAAAAAGCCGCTTAACAGGAGAAATTATACTTTATTCACCATGAAATTTGTAACATTATATATATCGTACCGGCGTGTAAGACTCTCAACAGTGCTCTCTGACGAAAGTGGTTCTCGCCGTTGACTAATGGTCTTGAAAATTTTCCGTTTTTTTTCTCTTTTTTATAGTCAGATTAAGGAGAAAAAATATCTAAGAGCAAGACCCAAGAATCACCGTCTTATATACACTACAGTGATCCAGTGCTGCCAATAATGCCTCTAATACAGTACCAATTTGCATTTGCCACAACGTAACGTGTACGAAAAGCGCCAGGTGGAAAGAAACACCATTAGAGAAATGGAATGGGAAGGAAACAAAGGAGGAATTAGACAAAAATATATATATTCTTTATATTTATATATAAAGAATTAAATCAAACTCTTAGAATGAATTTCCATTCATTTTGTTGTTTTTTTTAAACCACTGAAAAAGGAAATGCTGGGTGCGCTCTTTATAATAGCTGAATGCATAACAAATGTTTTTGGGAACGCCAGACATACCGATGATACAAAGCAAATTGCCTTTACGTAATAACAAAGACGCGTTGCCTTCTAATGAAAAAAAAAAGATTAAAAAAAGAAACACGAGAATAATCGAATACAAGGTTTTAGTGATTCGTTGTTGTGTTACTATATCACTTTCTCCCGGTACTTAAGAGATGAAAGAAAACGAGCGTCCTCGTCTTAGGACTCTGAATTTTTTAAGTTCTTTCTCCCCCCCCCCAGCTCTTAAGATTCTTAGAATTTTTAAGAATTTCATTTTTCATCTCGACTCATTCCCTAATTTTTTGTTTTCTTGTTCTCGAAACATTTTTTTTTTCGTTTAGCGTTAATGGTAGTTCTTTGATATACGAATGGACAAATCCTTTCGTACGCATTGAAAATATACAAATATCTGTACGGGGAGTTACAAAAAAAGAATATATCACAGTACAACGGACAAAAGCGAGTATCTATTATTAATACCACGTCTATACGCGATAAAGAAATAAAAAAAGAATACTTATTAAACAATTGAATGGATACTGCAGCAAGAAAACCTATTTTTAGGTAAATTAAATTTACAATATACATAACACATTTGACTACAACTACGAAGATATTTTTAGCCGGTAAGACTCTATCTGTAATAGGGATAAATATATTATTATTTACCTGTAAAATATATGAGATACGATGAATCGACGTAAGGAACTCTAATGTAACGTTCTGTGATTCGTTGTTTGTAGGTGAAATTTAATAAAAGAACACTGTATCATAACTGACGTGTCTATGTGTCTATATACACGAATACCCTGATTTCGATGTATTTACTATGAAAATAGATTAGATAATGAAATAGTTGAAGACAATTTGACGAAATTAGAAAAATTCTTAAAATGGCCTAACTTGTTGAAATTAATTGAAGTCTGTTCACACAATGGCAATGTTTGAAACAAGTCTTTCGAAAGTAAATAATGACTTAAAATAAATACAGTAAATAACTGTAGTTTTTTAAGCAGGAAGCTAGTCATTCTGTTTTCGTAGGGTCTATCTGTGATATAGTCACGTATTTAGATTCATTACGATGCACTGACGTAACGGTTATGTATAGGAAGACTGGTAATTATTTCAGTACTGTGATTGGTCAAGGATAACTAGGTCAGCCAATCAGAGAACAGATATAACGGAATCATGTACGCACGGTTGCATAAACCTAGGCGCTGTGAGCGAAGTCGAATAGGGAGCGCCGGTGTTGAACGTCAGACGAAACGAATACATAAACGAGAGTGGATCGTGAATTTTGCTGGAAATCTTGTTACTTGTTTTCTGTGTATAATTTTATAAGGAAAAACAATCGAGAACTCTCGAAGTATTTACAAGTGTTGTGGCAGTGTGTTTTGGTTACTTCCATTTCTACGTAGTGGATAAATTATTGATTTTGGACTAGTGGCTCGCCTTTGCCACACCCTGTGGCCATTTTGGGTTTCAACCTTTAGTATCTGGAGAACATTTTACGTTCGTCATGGATCAAATAACTCCGAAGGAAGTGAAAATACTTGAGAATGCGGAGGATATTCAGGAGAGACGAGAACAGGTCCTGGGACGGTATACCAACTTCAAGTCTGAGGCACGGAATAAGCGTGACAAGCTTGAGGACTCCCGTCGCTTTCAGGTATGTAATAATTTATATTCGTTTTATTAGGTTGTTTTATTGAAGATTAATATTTAACGTTTGTTTTGCAGTATTTTAAGCGAGATGCGGATGAGCTGGAGGGATGGATCTACGAGAAGCTTCAAGCTGCCTCAGACGAGAGCTATAAGGATCCTACGAACCTCCAGGCTAAAATTCAGAAACATCAAGCTTTTGAGGCTGAAGTCGCTGCGCACTCTAATGCCATAGTTCTTTTGGATAATACCGGTTCTGAAATGATTGCCCAACATCACTTTTCAAGTGATCTCATCAGGAAGAGGCTTGGTATGTTTGATCTTTTAAAATATTTTCATAATAATTTATATCTTTTGATATTTTATGTTTTGATATCGTTACAGAGGAACTTCATCGCCTTTGGGAATTGCTGCTGTCTCGTCTGGCTGATAAGGGTTTAAAACTTCAACAGGCATTGGTTCTTGTTCAGTTCCTACGTCATTGCGATGAGGTCATGTTCTGGATTCATGACAAGGAGACCTTTGTTAACACCAATGAATTTGGTCATGACTTGGAACACGTAGAGGTTCTTCAAAGGAAATTCGATGAGTTTCAAAAGGATATGGCTAGTCAAGAATACAGAGTGACGGAAGTGAATGAACTTGCTGACAAACTTCTTCTGGATGGCCACCCAGAGCGCGACACCATCCTGCGTAGGAAGGAGGAACTTAACGAATCCTGGCAGAAACTTAAACAGCGTGCTATTCTCCGTCAAGAGAAGCTCTTTGGTGCACACGAAATTCAGCGTTTCAATCGTGATGCCGATGAAACCATGGCATGGATCGCAGAGAAGGATGTAGTCCTGTCCTCCGATGACTTTGGTCGAGATCTTGCCAGTGTACAGACCCTTCAACGCAAACACGAGGGTATCGAGCGCGACTTGGCTGCTCTGGAAGACAAGGTTGCGACCCTGGGCGCTGAAGCCGATCGTCTTGCTGCAATTCATCAAGCTGATCATTCCCAACAAATTCAAGCCAAACGCGCTGAAATTCTGCAGTCCTGGGAGAGCCTCACCGCCAAAGCTAAAGAACGCCGTTCCAAATTGGACGAATCTTACTATCTACACCGTTTCTTGGCAGACTACCGTGATCTTGTCTCCTGGATGAACGATATGCGAGCTATTATATCGGCTGATGAACTAGCTAAGGATGTAGCTGGTGCGGAAGCACTTTTGGAAAGACACCAGGAACACAAGGGTGAAATCGATGCTAGGGCCGATAGCTTTGACGCTACAACATTGGCTGGTAATCAACTTCTGGAAAGGAAGCACTACGCCGCCGAAGAGGTCGAACGGAAGTTGAATTCCCTTGCTGAGGATAAGTCATCCTTACTCAATCTTTGGGAAAAAAGACGTATCCTGTACGAGCAGTGTATGGATTTGCAGCTGTTTTATCGTGACACGGAGCAAGCCGATGCGTGGATGGCCAAGCAGGAGGCCTTCCTGGCCAACGAGGACCTTGGTGACTCCCTGGACAGCGTAGAAGCACTCATCAAGAAGCACGAAGACTTCGACAAGTCCCTTGCTGCACAAGAGGAAAAGATCAGAGCCTTGGACGAGTTCGCGGGAAAGCTTATTGATGGAGAGCACTACGCAGCCGATGACGTTGCTCAGCGTCGTCAACTTTTGCTGGAACGTAGGGCCATCCTCTTGGAAAAATCTGCGCAGAGACGTGATCGTCTAAGAGATGCATACAAGCTACAACAATTCGAGAGGGACTGCGACGAGACCAAAGGATGGGTCAACGAGAAGCTGAAGTTCGCCACTGATGACAGTTACCTGGATCCTACCAACTTGAATGGCAAAGTACAAAAGCACCAGAACTTCGAGCAGGAACTGAATGCGAACAAGACTCGCATGGAGGAGATGGTATCCACTGGACAAGAACTGATGGAAAAGGGTCATTATGCCTCAGACCGCATTCGCGCACGTACCGACGAGATCGTCTCCCTCTGGGAAAACTTGGCTCAAGCAACAGAGAAGAAAGGCGCGAAGCTTCAGGAAGCTGCTCAGCAACAACAGTTTAATCGTACTGTCGAGGACGTCGAGCTCTGGCTGTCCGAAGTGGAAGGTCAACTCATGTCTGAAGATTATGGAAAGGACTTGACCAGCGTTCAGAATCTTCAGAAGAAACACGCCCTTCTCGAAGCTGACGTAGCTTCTCATGCGGATAGAATCGACAGCATCTCCCAGGCTGCTGAACAGTTTGTTACCTATGGACATTTCGATGCAGATAATATCAAAGCTAAGCAGGAACAGCTACATGCACGTTACGCTGCTCTCCAGAGACCAATGAGCATCCGTAAGCAACGTCTTCTGGATTCTCTGCAAGTCCAGCAACTCTTCAGAGACATCGAGGACGAGGAAGCCTGGATCAGGGAGAAGGAACCTGTTGCTGCAAGTACTAATCGTGGACGTGACCTGATTGGAGTACAGAATTTGCAAAAGAAACATCAAGCCGTCCTGGCTGAGATAAACAACCATGAGCCTAGGGTAGCTGCTGTGTGCCAGGCTGGTTCAAAGATGCTTCAGGATGGACACTTCGCGGCTGAAGAAATCAGTCAGAGACTCGCCGCCCTGGATGAACACTGGGGACAACTCAAGGAAAAGGCGCGACAGCGTAAGAATGATCTGGATGATTCCCTCCAGGCTCATCAGTACTTTGCCGATGCTAATGAGGCAGAGTCCTGGATGAAGGAGAAACGACCAATCGTTCTGAACGCTGATTATGGTAAGGATGAGGATAGCTCCGAAGCACTTTTAAAGAAGCACGAAGCTCTCGTCAGTGACCTAGAAGCATTCGCTAGCACCATTGCAGCACTCAGAGAACAGGCAGCTGCTTGCAGGCAGCAGGAAACTCCTACGGTCGACATTGCTGGTAAAGAATGCGTAATGGCTCTTTATGATTATGCTGAAAAGTCACCTAGGGAAGTCTCCATGAAGAAGGGTGACACCCTGACACTGTTGAACTCCAATAACAAGGACTGGTGGAAGGTTGAAGTAAATGACAGACAAGGCTTCGTACCTGCAGCATATGTAAAACGTGTAGAGCCTGAAGCAGGACTTAGTGCTTCGCAGCAGAACCTGGCAAGAGAACAAAGCTCCATCGCAGCCAGGCAAGCTCAGATCCAGGCTCAGTACGATGACTTGCTGTACCTGGCGCGAGAACGTCAGAACAAACTTAATGAGACTGCCAAAGCCTACGTGCTGGTACGTGAAGCTGCTGAACTCGCTACCTGGATCAAGGACAAGGAAAACCACGCCCAAGTCCAAGATGTCGGTGAAGATTTGGAACAAGTGGAAGTCATGCAGAAGAAGTTTGATGACTTTCAGGCTGATCTCAAAGCCAACGAAGTGCGACTTGCTGAGATGAATGAAATTGCTGTTCAGTTAATGAGCCTGGGACAAACTGAAGCTGCGTTGAAGATCCAAACTCAGATTCAGGATCTGAATGAGAAGTGGTCCAGTCTCCAAACTCTTACTGCGGAGAGAGCCAGTCAATTAGGATCAGCCCATGAGGTCCAGCGCTTCCATCGTGACGTGGATGAAACTAAGGATTGGATTCGTGAGAAGGATGCAGCTCTGAACAATGACGATCTAGGAAAGGATTTGCGCAGCGTTCAGGCTCTTCAGCGCAAACATGAAGGTTTGGAACGAGACCTGGCAGCTCTTGGAGACAAGATCAAACAGCTAGACGAGACTGCTAATCGTCTGATGCAGTCCCATCCTGACACGGCAGAGCAAACTTATGCCAAGCAGAAGGAAATTAATGAAGAATGGACTCAGCTTACTGCAAAGGCTAATAGCAGGAAGGAAAAACTTCTGGACTCTTATGACCTACAACGTTTCCTCAGTGATTATCGTGATCTCATGGCCTGGATCAATTCAATGATGGGACTTGTTGCTTCTGAAGAACTTGCGTCTGATGTTACCGGTGCTGAAGCTCTTCTTGAACGTCATCAGGTATATACCCAAACTGATTTACCTTTATCATTTCTTTCATTACCTTCCTATTCATTGCTCAACCATCATTCACATTATAGAATCACAGAGCAGAGATAGACGCACGATACGGCATTCTTCCTGAGGTACCAAAGTGTTTGAGCATGCTATAACACTTTCGGACTTGATTCTAATACGCGACTAATCATCTACAGGAATTTTTAGCTGAAACGTACTGCGTAGATTGAGACATTGAGTATAGACATCTAGATTGTAGACAATTGTTTGCTTGTCGATAAAGTGTTCCTGGTGCGTTTCGGCTTGAAGGTCCTGTATAAAATAATATTTTCATAAAGCAAAACGTGATGCAAAATTACGTGTTGTTCTTTGTGCGATCCTACGTGTAGGTATAAATGCAACATCTATTAACAGCATTGCTATTTTGAAAGAGTTTTGTACCAGCGCTGCTGCTTATATCGATCAGATCATCATACAAGACAAGATCAGACGATTTATATAGTTATCTTCAACGACTTTCATATAAATTTTTAATTTGTATCGGTTGGCAAATTCATATTTTTATTGTATTGATTCAAACTAATTTGTTTTTGATGATTGTATTATAGGAGCATCGCATGGAAATCGATGCCAGAGCAGGTACCTTCCAGGCATTTGAATTGTTCGGTCAGCAACTCTTGCAGTCGAGTCATTACGCCAGTGTAGAAATCCAGGAGAAACTTGAGTCTATGGCAGAGGCACGTCAAGAACTCGAGAAGGCTTGGATCCAGCGACGCATGCAGCTAGACCAGAATCTAGAGCTCCAGCTCTTCTGTAGGGACTGCGAGCAAGCGGAAAATTGGATGAGCGCGAGGGAAGCTTTCTTAAGCAGTGCGGACGCTGTAGATAGTACTGATAACGTCGAAGCCCTTATCAAGAAACACGAAGACTTTGATAAGGCCATTAATGCTCACGAGGAAAAGATCGCTGCTCTGCAGACCCTGGCTGATCAGCTTATAGCTGCTGAACACTATGCCGCCAAGCCCATCGATGATAGACGTGTCCAGGTGCTGGACCGTTGGAGACACCTTAAGGATGCCCTCATAGAGAAGAGATCTAAGCTTGGAGAATCTCAGACTCTCCAGCAATTCTCTAGAGATGCCGATGAAATGGAGAACTGGATTGCTGAAAAACTCCAGTTGGCTACCGAAGAGAATTATAAAGATCCTGCTAATATTCAGTCGAAGCATCAGAAACATCAAGCTTTCGAAGCTGAATTAGCAGCAAATGCTGACAGGATTCAGTCGGTTCTTGCTATGGGTGGTAATTTGATTGAGAAACATCAGTGCGCAGGATCAGAAGATGCTGTACAGGCCAGGTTGGCTTCCATCGCTGATCAGTGGGAGTATCTCACTCAGAAGACTACGGAGAAGTCAATGAAGCTAAAAGAGGCTAACAAACAGCGTACTTACATTGCTGCTGTTAAAGATTTGGACTTCTGGCTTGGTGAAGTGGAGAGTCTGCTCACTTCAGAAGACGCTGGTAAGGATTTAGCTTCAGTGCAAAACCTCATGAAGAAGCATCAACTTGTCGAAGCAGATATTCAGGCGCACGAGGAACGTATCAAGGATATGAATGCCCAGGCAGATTCTCTTATTGAAAGCGGTCAGTTCGATGCTGCTGGAATTCAGGAGAAACGACAAAGCATCAACGAGCGTTATGAACGCATTAGGAACTTGGCAGCTCACAGACAAGCACGACTTAACGAAGCTAACACCCTACATCAGTTCTTCAGGGATATCGCTGACGAGGAGTCCTGGATCAAGGAAAAGAAACTCCTGGTAGGCTCTGACGACTACGGTCGCGATCTTACTGGGGTTCAAAATCTGAAGAAGAAGCACAAGAGGCTCGAGGCAGAACTTGGCAGCCACGAACCCGCTATTCAGGCTGTCCAAGAAGCTGGTGAAAAGCTCATGGACGTTTCTAATCTGGGTGTTCCTGAGATTGAACAACGCTTGAAGCTCCTGAACCAGGCCTGGGCCGAACTCAAACAACTAGCTGCCAATAGAGGTCAGAAGCTTGATGAGTCCTTGACCTACCAACAATTCCTGGCTAAGGTTGAGGAGGAGGAGGCTTGGATCACCGAGAAACAGCAGCTCCTCTCCGTGGAAGACTACGGCGACACCATGGCTGCTGTGCAAGGATTACTCAAGAAGCACGACGCCTTCGAAACGGACTTTTCTGCTCACGGTGAACGTTGTAAGGATATCTGTAACGCTGGTGAGGGTTTGATCAAAGCCGGAAATCATCGTGCTGACGCCATAAGTCAACGCTGTGCTCAATTGCGCAACAAACTCGACCAACTAGGAGCACTTGCAGCTAGGAGAAAGACTCGACTAAATGACAACTCGGCATACCTGCAGTTCATGTGGAAAGCCGACGTTGTGGAATCCTGGATTGCCGACAAGGAGACCCACGTCCGTTCCGAAGAGTTTGGACGTGATCTCTCTACTGTGCAGACTCTCCTCACCAAGCAGGAAACCTTCGATGCTGGTCTGCACGCTTTCGAACACGAGGGTATACAAAACATCACTGCCCTGAAGGAGATGCTCGTGGACTCTGGCCACGATCAGACTCCCAGTATTGAGAAACGTCATGCCGACGTCATAGCTCGCTGGCAGAAGCTTCTAGCTGACTCTGACGCCAGAAAGCAGAGACTGCTACGTATGCAAGATCAGTTCCGTCAGATCGAGGAACTCTACTTGACCTTTGCCAAGAAAGCTTCAGCCTTCAACTCATGGTTCGAAAATGCCGAAGAGGATCTAACTGATCCCGTGCGCTGTAACAGCATCGAGGAGATTCGTGCTCTTCGAGAAGCTCATGCCCAGTTCCAGGCCAGTTTGTCATCCGCAGAAGCTGACTTCCAGGCTCTGGCTGCTCTCGATAGACAAATCAAGAGCTTTAATGTTGGTCCCAATCCTTACACGTGGTTTACTATGGAGGCACTCGAGGATACCTGGCGCAACCTGCAGAAGATCATCAAGGAGCGCGACGTGGAGCTTGCTAAGGAAGCTCAACGACAGGAAGAGAACGACAAGCTGAGAAAGGAGTTCGCCAAGCACGCCAATGCTTTCCATCAGTGGTTGGCCGAGACGAGAACTTCCATGATGGAGGGTTCAGGATCCTTGGAACAGCAATTGGAGGCTACTAAGCGTAAAACTCAGGAGGTGCGCGCACGTCGTCAAGACCTGAAGAAGATAGAAGACCTAGGAGCAATTCTTGAGGAACATTTGATTCTGGATAATCGCTACACAGAACACAGTACCGTCGGTTTGGCACAACAGTGGGATCAGCTGGATCAACTGGGAATGCGAATGCAACACAACCTGGAGCAACAGATACAAGCCCGAAACCAGTCCGGTGTATCGGAGGATGCTCTGAAGGAGTTCTCAATGATGTTCAAGCACTTCGACAAGGACAAGAGCGGCCGTCTCAATCACCAGGAGTTCAAGTCCTGCCTCAGAGCTCTCGGTTACGACCTACCAATGGTAGAAGAAGGTCAGCCTGACCCAGAATTCGAAAATATACTCGGTAAGTAACTCACTCTTATCACTAGGCGTATCTACAACCGGCTTATTAATTATCGCTTTGTCACTGACACTCTAGATATCGTCGATCCTAATCGCGACGGATATGTTTCCCTGCAAGAATACATGGCGTTTATGATTAGCAAGGAGACTGAAAACGTCCAGAGTTCTGAAGAAATTGAAAATGCCTTCCGCGCCATTACAGCTGCTGATCGGCCATACGTTACGAAGGAGGAACTCTACGCTGTTAGTATTTTGTTTTATATGAAAAAAGAAATACGGAAAAATCACGGTGAATAATAACTTTAATATTTACATTTTTATCTGTACACAGAACCTCACCAAAGAAATGGCCGATTACTGTGTCGCCAGAATGAAACCCTACGTGGATCAGAAGACGGAACGACCGATCACGGGCGCCTTAGATTATATTGAATTTACTCGCACTCTTTTCCAGAATTAAGTTAATGGTTTTTATAGTGAGCCCCTATCGCGATATGAAACTTTAAATTATTGTTACGCAAATATTATATTTACTGCTTTCAACGCAAATGACTATTTTAATACAGCATTAATGTTCCTTCCATTACATGATTATTTCCTCACGAACTTTCAACAGATATTTTGATTTTTAGATAAAAGATAAGAAATTATTGATCGACGATAGATTGTTCTTATCAGAGACCTCTCATTTATTCGCTCTATGTATTCGAATATTTATTCGCTGATTTTATATAACTGAAGATAAAAAACGAAAAAAAAATTTAGCAGTAGAAGCTTTCCTTGTGTCTATGAATTCTTAACGGTGCTTGCTTCATTATAATCTGGCAGCAATAAAATAAATAATTAAAAATACAAGTATCTTGAATTATTTTTAATTCACAAAATCGATAAATATTTTAATTATTAATATACAGTCGACTATTCTCGTTCAATGTGCTCCAAATATTGAAAATTACAATATACAACTAACTCCTCAAACAATTGATGTTTGTGCGTCCATGACTAGCACTGACCTAATGAATCAAAATAATAAATAGCAGACTTTCTGTTACAGAAAATGAATGGCGTCTGACAATTTAAAAGAATGTACATAGGATTCAACGCCGCAGAAGTTTCATGAGTCGTTTACTCATGTAGTATGGTCTTGAACTGGAGCCATCATTTCTTTCGCAGTCTTCAAGGAAACACAAAAAAATTGTGTCTACGGCTGCTGAATGTACAGTAAAGAAGACTGTAGAAATTAAAAAGGAGCCAACGCCTACCAACAATATTGGTACAGCCCAATAATTAATTTCTTTAGAATCTTGATAGTACCACCATGTAATCCAAATGAATAATCCAGTAATTAGAATCTTTCCCAGTAGCAAGATCCAATCTGTAATCTAAAAAACAATATGGCTAACATTAGTAGTTCATGTCATTTTATAAAAAATCAAGCATCTCATTTGATATTTACTCACTTTATCTAAAACCGCAACACGGATAATATTCCTCATCAAGAGATTAAATGCATCCCTTGCGGAGGGAAAGAAATTTTTTCCATGTATGGCACACATAATGTAAGCATTACGATTTATGAATTTCAAAAAACTTTCTAGCAACCAAAAGCAGCATTTGCAACATTTCAAACACCCTCTGGCCAACTTGTTATTATATTCTTTCAATTTAGCGTCGATCGATTCCAAAAGTAATCGAATCAATCGACATATAGTTATGATTAATGAACCAAATGCTAGGGTTCCCAAGTGATACCTGTTAAATATTTAGATAAATGTCGATTATTAATTTGCAAGTATTTTTTAGTTTCAGGACGTACCTTATGGTTCTCCATATGCTGATAGACATTGTAAAGAAGGGCACATCCTCCTTTCTGTATGTCCAGTACCAGGTGGCAAACGTGCCAGCAAGGATCATTTCTCCTAATGCTGACACGAAGAAGAATAACCAGAATCCTGCGACTACATTAATTGCATGTAAGTAATTAATATACCAGGGATTATCTGTACTGATCAAGTGGCATCCAGATGAGGTGCAAGGTGAGTTTGTGGCACTGTCATAGCAATTGGCTGTAAACACATCTGGTACACAGACAGAGTTATTCGTATAGCCAAGATTATCAGGACAGACACAAGAGTCATCGTTCTCAAATTGCACTGCATAGTTTCTTATGCCTATCGATGCCAGGTAAAAGCCACCTGCCACAGTGTAGGCTAGTACAAGAAGATGCAGTATCCATGGTATAATTGGAAAGATCAAACTAGATAAAATAGAAGTCATTGCTCTGAAACAAGGAATAACAATTAATCCAATATACAACATGACCTTAGAATACTTCTGATATATCTAATTAAAATTATAGTTTATGTGCCCACTTGCTTGCTTCTTTGATAAGTTGACATGCCAAGTATATCCTGCTACGCAAGAAGATGACTACCACGAGAATAATAACTAAGATCACTCCACATAATATAGAAAATATTATCCATCCAAGTCCTCCATTTTCCGAATAATATGTATACGAAGCATATGTAGTGTAACCGAATAGACCCAATACGCCTAAAATGGTTAGAAATGCAAAAGGAGTTGCCAGCCATCTCAATAAAACAATGTAAGATAGAGAAAGCGCTCCACTAATTGCAATGATGACTAGCGTTGTCTTCCTGAGTAAGATAATCATAATTAATCATATAATCCCTGTCAACTCTCAGCATTGATACATTTTAACAATGAATTTGTATTACCAGGTAAAAAGTAAGTCGTCATATGCATTGAGAAGAATTGTCTGAGCAGTCGCTAATACTTCCACGACTCCCTTCGCCTGAGAAAGTTTTTCGTTATCGATAGTCATATTGACAAATTCATCCCAAATTGTTACAGGGATGCATCGTCCAGTAATCGAGGTGCTCCTCAGGTACCAACTGGCGCATTTATTTTTCAATATATAATTTTCTATTTCTGTTAAGTTTTTGCTGCTCAGATCTACATCAATTTTGCAAATCGTCACGTTCCTTAGCTCCTCTATAGGTAAAGTACTATTCAGGGAGAAGATGTAGTTAGACTTAGGACATTCCTTTAGACAGACCTGAGGCGTATCACATCCACTGTAAGGAGCGGAAGCCGTCAAACAGGTAGTCAAGTCAAAGAATATTAAATAAGGTCTATCCAAGACCTCAGAATCGACGCCACATTTCCGGCCTTCAGAATCTGTCGGCACCAACAATCTATTCGTATCGCCATGACTTAGTGCTAAAAAATTTTATCAATGGATGACATAAATCGATAGATTATATCTCGCTGAATGTATACTGTTAATTGCTCTTTTATTCTTTTTAAAACTACCGTAATATCCTACTGCAGCCCAGCCTGCCATAAAAGCTAGAAAAATAATTAAGCAGAAACAATCGGTGCAAGAACGTCCCTTTAAAGGTCCATTCCATCTTGGATCATATTCACATTTTTTACCTGAAAATTCACAGTACTTTATTACTAATTGATAAGAATTGAGTTATCCTATAATTACTAAGTTTAATCATACTTATTTAGTTCATAATATACGTATATATTGTATATTTTTATAGTAGACTTTATGTTACTCTCCAATTAATTGTACTTACCGTGCTTCTCGTCCTCCATGATTTAATTTCCAGATGAAATCCAGGGTTAAGATGTGTTTTTCTATATATAACTCAAGATTCTATAAACGTGTCACTTGTAATATGTAGCCCAGCGCATCGTACCACTGATGAATGTGATACTATTGCCGGCTCGAGAAATAAGCCGTGGATACTCTAGTCTGTTGGAATAAAAATATGATAAGAAGAAACTAGAGATAACTTGTGATAACATAGATTTGCCCACAAATATTATGCCCTTATCTTATCATTGTTTAAATAATTAGCAGTGTGTCAATAATTAGCAAAATGTCTTCCATTTGATATAATTTATGAATAATTTCAACCGTGCGGAAACAATTTGATTAAACATTTAACTGTTTATCCGGATTTTAATAATGATTCATTGGACAAGTGTATTTAGGTATTACATTTTTTTTTGTATAAACGTCATTTGATTCTATTAAAGGATTATATTATTTCTTCTCTTGAACTCTGCTTAATCAATCATGATTTAAATGAAGTGTTATTGATGACTCAAGTGCTGTTCATTTTTAATACTTCTATCAATGTCTTTTATTACAGAAGAAATCATTTATTGCGATTACTTTCTCGATACCTCATTCACGTGTAAAGCAAGGTTTACTGTGAGATATTTTTTAATATTTTATTTAAAAGACATATATGGTACAGTGATTAGATTGTTTTTAAATATTTTGGCAAATTGAATTGTTGACAAATGTGATATTAGTTTGTCTTGGGTAGAAATCTGTTTAATACTCCATAATCCTTTAGTTCCTCCTTTTTCTTTCCACTTTCCTCCATTTTTTGTTCTCGCATCGCTTCCGCAGTTTCCTGAAAAGAAATTGTTATACAATTTAAAGGAGTTGGTTTAATTATAATTTTCATTAGGTTGATATTTATTTTTGTCTTACCCGTCTTGCTAATTCATTCAGAATCTTTTTAGTTTTTATCACCTTTGCAGTACCACCTTTGCCTTTGGCTTTTGTCTTACGTGGTTTGAAGTCGATCTTTTTGGGCTTGACATGCTGTTTGAGGAATATGATTGATCGATATGATAACTAAGTTAATTAAAGATAATGGACATGATATTTTATTATTAGATATAGTAGGGTGACTCACCAGAAGCTTTTTCTTGGCCTCTATCTTATCTTGCAGAGTGGGAATATCCACCTCTGCTATTGTAGTTGTGTCAAGTGTGATTAATTCTGGTTGAAGTTTATCAAGAAGAGCCTTCACTTCCGCTTCTCGTCTCTGGCTCTTCGTTTGGAATGGATTCACTTCTAGAGCATCGAAATTAGCTTCTCCACTGCCAGGTACAAGAAGCGATGCAAAACCTTTAGCTGTTGTTATACCTAAAACGTCTTCGTAAGGACAGAATTGCATTCCCGTTATTCCCCAGGAAGCCTTGTGACGTAAATAAGAGGTCATTTCACCTTCTGATTCCCTGTGGTAAAAAATTCATATTAGTTTACCTTAACTGGAAATAAGATTATATCAATTTCCTACCTATAAACCTCGACTACATTGCCCATGGCTGCACCCAAAAGACCACGTTGACTGTAACAGAGTTTTTGTGCAGCAGACCTTAAAACGACAGTATGTACAGGTCCTGCTAATTGTCGTACATCCCAAACTTTCAGGGTTCGGTCTGGGCAGCTAGTGGCCATATATGTTCCATGGGGATGAATTGTACAGGATGAAATAGCCTGCTTATGGCAAAGCATCTTTGCTAGTGGCTTTTGTGAATTTGGTGACCACATGGATACTACACCATTAGAGCCTCCGACACATAGAATAGCATTACTTGGATTTTGAGTCATTACCTGTAAGTAAACAGATCTTGTAAAGTATTGTAATTGAAAGATACTAGCAGTTTCATTGCAATAATGTATAACTTACAGATATACTTCCCAATCTGGAATTGTAGCGGGAAATTATTTGTCCTATTGATACATCTAACCAAGCCAAATGTCCATCACGGGATGAACTAGCCAAGAGAAAGTGATATGGCAAAAATTCTAGCTGTGTCACTCCATTCATTCGTTTTAAGCAGTGCAATTCTATTCCTTGATTATCATAAATATACACCCATTCCTTCTGTGCTACTGCAAACATTGTTTCTATATGTAGCCATGCCACATCATGTACAGATTCCATCACATTTGTTTCACACGATAGTTTCTTTGTTACCCAATCAAATGCAGCAACATGACCCATTTTCCCACCAAGCACTAAATATCGTCCATTTCTAGTATATCTTAAACAATATGGTCCAAACTCTAATTGTAATTCAAACTGTTTTGCAGCACTTGTGATATCTACATTGGATGCAATTTGTTTTTGTTTAAACTGAGTTGTAGTTTCTCCAGCATCCTTTTCAAGAATACCATAATCCTCGGTTAAGAGTAGCTCTGTACGTGCTGCTTGCTCTATAGCATTTTCTATCACTCTTTCTTTCACTCTTAATCTCTGACGATGAATTTTATTTTTTACTCTGCTAAAACCTTTCTTCAGGTTTAATCCTTCGCCTCTTCCATACTTCTCAAGCTTTTCCTTACTTACAGGTGCTTTACCAGGATACTTGATATTTTCTAGAACATAACAAAGACAATTAATAAGATAGAAATCAATAAGTGTTCTATTACAATTTAATGTACAAATGTTAATTAAATAAAAGATACACACCTGTTTTCTCCATTATTGTTTATCTTTATTCCAAGTAAAGAGGTTACACACTATTAGAGCAAATCGCACGTGTTCAACTGTAAGTCGTCATGTTGGATGTACAGTGAACTACATTACCAATATATGGTAAATTTATAAAAGAATTTTCAATTGACAGAAAAATCATTCTGCCATTATCAATTGATTTTCGAGTACTTAGATGGGATCTTAGTATAAGGAAACTAGGGGTAGGTGCGGGTGCTATTGAGCACCTGCTAGTATAAAGTCACCCTCTGTCGGAGACATTTTGCGCGGGGATCGATGGCTAACGGGGCCCGCCGCCGGCGGCGGGCGTGGTTCCTTACGTCTAACCCACTGGGCT